TTATTAGACATCTATCGCTCACTCCAAGCAGCTCGTTGTTTTAATCTTCTCGGTAGGATTATATATAATCTAACAATTTCGCGTACTTTGGTCTGGCAAAGATTGAGTTTTGGTTTGGAGAATATACACCCCCACATCCGACTTTCCCACAAGCAAGAAAAAGGCTTCTTGCATCGTTCATTTTTTGGCGCCCAACGTGGGGCACGTGTCTATTCTACGACAAATAAGAATCATAATTCGCCATCATTCAACGGCTGCATCAGTAACAGCAATCAATCCGTTCGTTGGAGCAATAACAACAATCAAATTTTTCGTGTTCTAACCAAAACCCACTTCGTTCGGTGCTAGTGCATTTGACCACATATTGGCAACTTCATTCCCGCCTGGATCCCTTCGATAAATAAATTCGTCATACCATTGCTGTTCTGAACATAAAATTCACCGGTTGGAAACGCATGTATGTATGTATGTACCCTTACCCAAATACAGTTTTTGACTTTGCTGCTTTGCCACATATTCCGTACGGCTGAAAGTACATATGGCTTACATTTAATTATTATTGTTGCGCCTTTTTTACTGCTGTGAGCCGTTGATACTGCCGCTAACTCGCATTCGTCGCTCTCACTAGTAGACCATTCGCTGCTAACACTACTCGCCGTCGTATACTTCGTTGCTGCTCTGCCAGCGCTACATCCGCTGCTCTTGCTGAAGCTGCGCTGTTTTGCATTTTTTGTACTTCGCTTTGCTGGCATTTGTGTCAACAGTTGACCAACAGCACATATAAAACAGTCAGTAACCCAGTAGGAATTGTTTCGTCACATCACATTGTACATCAACCATGTCTCTTGAGGAATGCAAGCGTAAGCGCTCGAACATAAAGCGCAACATTTCTCGCATCAAATCAATCGTCGAAGCTGTAAGGGAGTCAGAAGACAAACTTTCTAATGCTGAATTGCAGTGTCGATTAGGAATCTTAGAGTCTTACTTTAAGCAAGCCTTGTCCGTACAAGCTGACATCGAAGACTTAGACCCCACAGACAACGGCCGTGCAGACCTAGAAGACAGCTACGTTGCAGTCAAGTTGAGCATCCAAGTGCAACTTGGAGAAGATGTTAACACTACGGTACACTACCCGGAAACGCCTGCAGCTGCATCTGTTACACCCTCGTCGCACCTACCAAGGTTGTCTCTACCAACTTTCAGTGGAGATTATGCGGATTACAAGAATTTCATCACGACGTTTACCCAGATCATCGCCCGTGAACCCAGGCTGTCGAACATTGAAAAATTCAACTACCTTTTATCATGCTTAAAGGGTGCTGCACTAGAAACCGTTAAAGCATTTCAGGTTACTAATGAAAATTATTCGAAGGCTTTGGATAGGCTTAAGGAACGGTTCGACAACCCAACCTTAATTTTTTTGGAAGGCATCGCCTCACTCTTCACGTTACAGGCACCTGAGAAGTCAAACGCTCAACAACTGCGCAGCCTAGTAGACAAGGCATCGGCTATTTATAGTTCTTTGGAGTAATTGGGCTCAAGTACGAGCATCGCACAAGCGATTGTGCAGTATTAGTGTATCGTTAACCAATCTAAAGTCACGTACGACTACGACTATCAAATCGCGCACTTCAGCATTTCAACTATCGCTACAGTTTGGAATCACTTCGCACATAGCATACCAGCCAGACACCGAGATCGACACGTCCGATTGGAACTTGCCAGCTAATACAAAACTTGCAGACGAAACGTTTTTCAAGCCCCGGCGCATCGACTTGTTGTTAGGCACAGAAGCATTTTTTGACGCCCTTGCTGTTGGTCAAATTCGACTGGGTTCTAACCTACCTACACTCCAGAAGACGTTGTTCGGTTGGGTTGTCTCTGGTAGGCTTCGTAATGAGCGTAATGTGACGGCATCATCTTGCCTGTTGTCAAATGAAAGCTCCATCGACGAGAACTTGCAACGCCTATGGAAACTAGAAGCCATCAGTACGCCAATAGTAAGTATGCCTTTTAAAGATGACCCCATTTGTCTCGGAGACTCCTTCGATGTTGCTCGCCGGCGATTCCTCGCGCTTGAGAGACGCCTTCTACGTTCGCCCGAAATTCGTCCGCAGTACATTGCCTTTATGGAAGAGTACGAAGGTCTTGGCCACATGTCAGAAGTAGCACAACCCAACTTAAAGGAGCCACACTACTACATACCACATCATTGCGTGCTAAAACCTAGCAGTACCTCAACGAAACTTCGAGTTGTGTTTGACGCCTCGTGTCGCACCTCATCGCAAACCTCATTGAACGACCTATTACTGGTGGGCCCAACAATCCAACAAGATTTATACATGCTACTACTGCGTTTTCGTTTGTATCGTTACGCCATCACCGCAGACGTGGCTAAAATGTACAGGCAAGTACTTGTAGATAATAACTTTCGACAATTCCAATACGTACTTTGGCGAGCTTCCCCAGATTCAGATATCCGCACGTACCAGCTGAACACGGTCACATATGGCACAGCCTCGGCTCCATTTCTTGCAGTACGCAGCCTCCACTATCTGGCGGACCAACACATGGCAGAGCTTCCGATCGGCGCTTCAGCAATAAAATCATCTTTCTATGTCGACGATATGTTATGCGGTCCCAAAGATGTGAATGAGCTATATACCCTCAAGCATCAAGTTGTCGAAGTACTCCATCGCGGGCAATTTCCACTATCGAAATGGCACTCAAATCACCCCGACTTTATGGAAGGTCAAGCCACAAAGGAGCTCAGTATCACTGACGATTACGTGACCAGCGCATTAGGAATAACATGGCACCAACGAAGTGACGTCCTATCCTTCGCGTTCAATCATAAACAAGAACCTACTTCAGTCACAAAGCGGACAATATTATCTACCGCATCATCCCTGTTTGACCCGCTTGGCATGTTATCACCACTGGTTATCACAGCCAAGATAATACTGCAAGAGCTTTGGCTATTGAAGCTCGACTGGGACGAGTCCGTTCCCCAACATCTGCAGCAAGCTTGGACAAACTGCCTGATATCTTTAAATGCGATCTCATCACTCACGGTACCTCGTTATTGCTTACAGCCTACCAAATCATACTTGGCTGTTTTCGTTTGTCTTGTCACGAAAGCGGTCCACATCGAGGTGGTCTCGGATCTGTCTACGAAGGCGTTCCTGAACGCTCTCAAACGGATGGGTGGTCGGCGAAAAATGCCATGTGACATTTTCTGTGACAATGCCACGAATTTTGTAGGTGCATCCAACCATCTACAAGACCTCAAGCAATTTCTCTTTAACGATGAGATCCAAAATGAAATCAAAAAATT